CTATTTAAAGATGCATACATTTTTGTAACTTTTTGTCGTTGTCCCTTACGTGTCTCTTACACCACCAGGGTATACCTATTTTCCATACTCTCTTAAATATAGATTACGATGTTTGAATTAATATAACATTTTACCCATGAAAAATCTAATTTCGAATTTAACTCTTTTTCAATTTCATTTGAAAGAATTGGTATATTACAATTTATTATCAAGAAAATCTTCTAATAAAGTTATAGCAGATCTTACTCAAACTACTGGTTGTTCTGCAGGATAAATTAACTTTTCTTGATATTGATCTCTCTCTAAAATCCAAAACCAACCTGATGTCCCCAAATTTATTTTCCAATGCATTCTGATTTAAAATTCTGCTCTTTAGTGATTCAATTTTTTTTCTTCGTTAAGAGGAAAATTTACATTACAAACTGAAAGACCTGCGGGGCAACGGTAGTTTAGTAGGTATAAAAATTACAACTTAAGGGTGTCTAAATACTACAAAATTACTTCCGAGACTAAACAAAATCCGCATTCATTCATAATTTTAACAATTATTGTATGTAGATACGAGGGATACGTATTCCAAACTCTAACGCGTGTAGTTGAGACAAAATCCTACCTCGGCTGCCGACGTTCTTGAGTGAGTCAGAGTTACCTAAATTAGGGGAACCAAAATCGTATTTGTTTTTCTTGGTGCATTGCGAGATAGTAGAGAGTTTTAGCAACTGTACGTTAGATTTCCGCTAACGTTACGTTAAACTTAGATTGTGACATTTTTCGTAAACATTGAACGGAGTAGATTACAGTCTATCCCTAAGGTAACGTTAGCGGATGGTTAGCGGCTGTTTGCTAAAACTCCCTATTGTTATAACGCAGTTCGATTTTTTAGAGGGTTTTACATTATTTTTATATTTTAATTTAGTGAATAGGTTTAGTTAGATTAAATTACATTTAGGAGTTAAGAGTTGTGAAATATAAATACATATAACGAAAAAATAGACGATTGGTTCGAATAAGGTAATATCAATTAATACAGGGTATTTATTAATTGAGTGCCGATACTTAAGGGTGTGAATCCTTGGGTGTTAAAGTTTTAAGAAAAAAATAACTATTTTATCATAAGTTTCTTATCACGCTAGATATTTTTATATAATTTTGTCCAAAAAAAAAGTGTTTCCACTCATTGTGGGTTTCTACCAAATTTCAACAAAATATCAAAAGCAGTTTCAATAAACTGGTTTTTATTTTCTCGCGCGAAAAGGGTGCGTCGTACGAAAGTACGTCTATAAACCAAATTTGCTCCAAAATAAATTAGGATTTTAAAGATAATTTTGGTTTTTAGAAAAAGCAGTGGCGTACCATATTTTTGTTCAAAAATATTCAGTTCAAACCCGGTACGGACTTCACTAGTAAAAATTAAGAAGTCTTTTACGACAAAAAGGCGGGATTGAAAGTGAAAGTTTAGTCTGTTGGTACATAATATACTATATTTATATATCTAATTTTTATTATTACACTGAATGTGACATGGCTTTTTTGTTTGCCTTTTTTGGATCAACAAAATATTATTTTAATGATTTAAAATAAATTGTCAGTAATTATAATTATCTGTACTTAAACATATATAGAAAGTAAAAGCATAAAACGACGCATCAAGAAAGCACCAAATTATTAAACTTTTAATTTACGTAACATGTATTAAAAGTAATTTTAAAAAACCGACTTTAAAATCGCGCAGATGCCATCACTATATCTTAACCAAATTTATATGGGATCACCCCTGAGGTACCCCCTTACTAACGAAAAGAATTATAAAAATTTGCAAAAAAGAATCATTTAAATCGGACATTGTGTTAAAGAATTATCGCTGAACATACATAAAAAAAATAAATACAGACGAATTGAGAACCTCCTCCTTTTTGAAGTAGGTTAAAAAGGATATAATAATCTATATTAATTGTATTAACTAAAAAACTACTATGTGGAGTTATATAATAATATATCTTGTTAAATTAATCTTATATGTAAAAATGTGGGTTCGGTTCCTAGAAAAGTACCTACCTAGTTCACTGTGCAGCCAAATTTATATTTATGATACAGAATTTTTTGAATAAATAAAATTTTAAGTTTAATTAAACACCAAGTTTTATCAGGAATAACATTTTCTGAAAAAAGTAACATAAAAAGCAGACTTTTTGTGAGCCACTATATATATTTTAGAGGAAAATCCATATTATTTTAGAAAAATAAATAAAATTTTTGTTTCTTAAGAGGAGTATTTACTTGACTGTAAAGCGGAGCATGCAAGGGTTTCGTAGTACCCCACTTTTAAAGTTTATTTTTGACTTATTCTGAAAGAAAAAAATATGTGCGTGTAGGTAAAGAATAAATCTATGCTCCTCTGGAGACACTTTTTTAAAATTTGAAATGGTTTTTTCTAAAAAAAAAAAAAAAAAAAAAAAAAAAATACAAAGCTCGACTATTTTTACCCATTTTCTCAATTTTTTTTAGAAAAAAACTAAATTGAATTTTGAAAAAGTGGTTCCAGAGGAGAATAGATTTAACCTATACCTACACGTAATGTGATTTATCTTTTAGAATATTGTTTGTCAAAGTTTACTAATTTTTTTAAAAAAACAAATATTCTTCAAAATTTTTCTTACATTTTTTAAAACGGTACAAAATACCTTAATCCGTTTATAGTTATCGATTTTAAACAAGAAGGAGACCGGACATCGTCGAAGAGAAAGAGCGAAATTAGTAAAGAATTTTAGCTTGATTAAGAAGCTTTCTTGCTCTTTTCATTTCCTATAAAAACCAATAGACCTTTTTGAAATCGGTATTCGGTGACTTTTCTTCTGTTTTATTGCCTTGAAAATGATATGATTTACATAAAAAACAAAAACTGACTTATTATTTTTGTGAAATAAAAATATCCGAATCAAAATCTTGAAACTATTATTTGGGGGCTTAAAAGAGTGGTCCACTAGTTGGTGTAGCCTTTTAAAACATTTGGTATAATAATAATTATATATCATCAATTACCACTTCCACTGGTAAAATCCTAAATTTAAAATAGTGTATTATAATAATAAGACATTAATCATATCTTAAATAGATCGCCTACTACCATGTTTTAGAAATAAATAAAATGTAATTCTTAAAGCAATAAAAATATTCAAAATAATTTAAGATTCCTTGTGTTATGTCAATAAACATTAAAAATTTCTCACGAATTATTTAGTATTCTGTCCTGTACTTCCATGTCTCTATTAGCTTCGCTGTCAACAAGTTCTGACAAGGCATATTGCATATAAAAAATTTTAATTTTATTTTGTATCTTTTCTTCTCAAAAGCTTCTCAAAAGATATTTTCTCCACTTTTATTTCTACAGAAGTCCAAAAGCACAAAATGCAAAAATCCATTTGTGTTATGTGCAACTAGCCCTGAATTTGAAAATACCAATAGTGGTTCTCCTTAATTGTATTGTCCTTTTTCCCAAAAGTTATTTCTCTACTGCGTATTTCTTCTTCTACAGTCAGCACTTCAGCTCCATATGGACATTTTAACTCTATCATAGTGTTTTGTGTTTTTTTTTAATTCCATCCAGACTGGCAGCAACATAATCAAATTTGAATTCAATAAAATGTCCACATTTAAAAACTTACTTGCAAATAAATTTCCAAATCTTATTTTGCTCTGAATTTATGGTCCATGTCATATCGGGTGGCTTTAGAAATAAATAAAAGATTTAGGAGAGTTTTACAAATTTCTCTAAATTTTAAAGCAGTGACTCGTTTTTGTCTTTTATTGTGTCACAATGTACAATCGTTTTTTTCTCATTTATAGACATTGGCTAACTCTTTAGAAAATTTTCTCTTGCAGCACGTCTCAAAGGGTGCGACAGATCAAAGCCATGCGCGAAAGCAAGAAAAAATATTTACATTACTTTAACGGATTGAAGAGATATTAACATGCTGGAATTAATAATTATTGTTGACTTGAAGAGGTATTCATTAAACAAAAACATATTTATAATTCATATCTCAGTGTATATCTTATAATTTCGGATATATATTTTTTAATAAATAAATGATAAAATTAATTTAATGTAATTGAGCGAAATTACTGTATGTAAAAAATAACATGAATTCAAATCACTTATGTACTGTTTATCACTAAATAGTAGAAAAAAAGATATATATTCTGTTGGTGTCACCCTCTAGACGAAAAAGCTTTAACGTATTTCTATTTATATTGTTATAAAAATAAGTGCTCCTGTAGGCAAAAATTAAATATATGGTTCTCTTCTAGCATTTTTTAACATTTCTATTTCTTTTCGTATCTTTTCTTAGATTTTTTTCAAAAGAGACCGATTCATAATTTTTAAAGTGACTCCAGAGAGGTATGGGTTAAGCCTTTATCTGTACTTACATAAAATTTCTTTTAGTAAAATTAAAAAATAATCCATAAAATTGGTCTACTATGAAACCCTTGCATATAATATATATACCAATCTTAGTATTACAGAAATAAATTACGTAAAAAATAAGGTGTAAAATATGTAAAATTTATTCATCCCTCGTAAAATATCAGTAAAATATATTATAAATTGTTTTCATTCACAAATATTAATTTCTTGAAAATCTAACAGAGGCGCCACTTTCCAGACAAAAAATCTTGCAATGTAAGGGGTTTCGTAGTACCCCACTTTTAAAGTTTATTTTTAAAAGAAAAAATATGCTCGTGTAGGTAAAGGTTAAATCTATGCTCCTCTGGAACCACTTTTTCAAAATTCAATTTAGTTTTTTTCTAAAAACAATTGAGAAAATGGGTAAAAATAGTCGAGCTATGTATTTTTTTTTTAGAAAAAACAGTTTCAAATTTTAAAAAAGTGTATCCAGAGGAGCATAGATTTATCCTTTACCTACACGCACATATTTTTTTCTTTCAGAATAAGTCAAAAATAAACTTTAAAAGTGGGGGTACTACGAAACCCTTGCATGCTCCGCTTTACAGCCCAGTAAATACTCCTCTTAAATGACTACAATCTTCTAATAGCCACTAGAGTGGATATTAGAGGTAGGTGTATGTAAGAAATTGCCAATCTCTAATCATTTCAAAAGTCCTTTGCCAATACTACATATGCAGATTTTTTACTCAGCATAAATTTTACTTCTTTTCTAGGGAACTTTGTGCTGCTATTAAAGCTGTCGAGACATTCATCTACCTACTTAATGAACAAAAGTAGCTATAACAATGGATCTCTGTTCCAATTCACCTAAAATAATTATAGCAGTTTTGTAATATATTATTAAACACACACATTATACAGTACTTTTCTTAATAAATTGGAAATTACTTACCTCTAGAAAGAAACGTGTACAAAAACGCGAGTTTGGTTCCAGAAACTGCTTCATGCAAAAAATAATATGAAAACATAAACACTCCCCCCCCAAAAAAACTAATTAAACAACAAAATCAGACTCAAAGAAATAAACGGGGCTCAAATTAAATTAATTTTAATAAAATACACACGTTCATAACAAAATTCATAACATTGTCAGTAGTCAGTTCTAATCTATACGTCACACGTCGACGTCACAGTTTATAGCTTAAAAGAATCAGTTCGCTCACTCTGCGTCGGCACTTTTGATCTCAATGTTCCAGTTTTACATTGCGCAACTCGGATTTGTATCCCTGGCGCATACGGAATCAAATCATAATAGCCCAAGAGCCCACTGTAAACTTTTACTGCCATCTGATAATGAAATAAAATATACCCCAAAAGCTTGTAAAAACATTGTACTTTACCGAATGGCACCTGTGACAATCCCAATCCTGAGCAAAGTGTTTAAAAAAAAATTTTATATTAAAAAAATCACATAAGGCATGACAGCGCTAATTTTGTTTGCCCTTAAAGTTTTCCAGATAATAACATATTCAAATATATCTTGATATATATCGTTAACGGGAAACATTTTCTTCCTCTTAACATCGAGCAAAAACATCTACACACGATTAGTAGGTAAAAATCATTAAAAATATGAATCAATTTTTGCTGATTTAAGAATTTATTTGTACCTATGCCTTTTGTTGTGATTCATTTTTACAGGTTGTCATAGAAACGACAAAAAAACTACTATGATTATAGTTTAAAAGAAATTTTCTAACAAGAGTTTATAATTATTATTGACTATCTCTGCCAAAGTAAATTAAAAATATTAATAATTCAGGTTTAAAAGCTAGATTCACAATGAATTAGGATTGTCATTTTCAGAGAAAACACAATTATCGCTGTCATGTCTCATGTAATTTTTTGTATATAAAATAATTTTTTTAACCACTTTGCTCTAGATTACAGATTGGCACAGGAGCAATTTGGTAAAGTACAATGTTGTTACATGTCTTTGGAGCATATTTCATTTTGTTATCAGATGGCGGTCGTAATTTGCAGTGGGCTCTCTTACTATTAACAATAGCTGACAGTGAGAAGGTCTGGTATGTCTAAGGGGGTAGAGACATAGTCTTGCATCTTGAACGTTTTTTTTTTTTCGAAATAATAGTCACAAAGCCTGCCAATTTATGAAAAAATGTATCTTATTTTTATTGTGTTTGACATAAAATATTTAAATGTAATCCATTATTCACGATTTTACGTATTGTAAACAGAAAACATTGTATGTCGCAACCCTTGGATCTATCAAATCTTCCCACTGACAGTTCATTTGTTTGGAATGCCTAATATGTACAATATATGACAACTGCCTATATTCAAACAGCAGTCTTCTGCGCATCCTGAATTTGTATCCCTGGAGTGGATGTTATTTTGGAACATCCAATTGGTCCGAGTGAGCGAACTGATTCTTTTAAGCTATAAACTGTGTCGACGTCAAAAAACCAGCAACATCAGCGACCTCTAGGGTAAAGATCAATGTAAAAGAGAAAGTCATATATGTAATTTAAATGGACCACGTTTTGTTTCTGGTATTATGCTGTATGGAACGGCATATGACAGGAAAAATTGAATGGGTTTAATAATATATACCATAATTAACTAAAAAGTAAGTTCTTTTATTTAATAGCCGCAGATAAACAATCTTATTGTAGGAACACTGTATTGAAACATTTAGTACAAAAAAAGAAATGTTTCTAATTTATTTCAATGAAAAATATTTTGTTCAATCCAAATAATAATTTTATGGAAATAACATTCTTAATAGTATCGCATATTTTCTTGTTGTATGTTGTATAAATCATAAAATAAAGTTTTATTAAAGTAAATTCTTGAAAATATCACATATATTGCCTTTAATTTTCTTATTGTAGCCATTACACAACAATCAGCAAGTTTGATGCTATACAAATTCTACGTAGTAATAAAAGACGGTTAATGTACTCTTATGTTTAAACAACTACATACTACAAAAAAATAATAGTTTAAAATTTTTATCGTCATACAAATAGCATAAACAATCTATAATAATTAAAATTAAATTTCTATTCAAGTAGGTATATTCTTGAAAGTATCACACACATTTTCTTAATATTCTTGTTATATTGTAGCCAACATATAATAAAGAATTTGATGTTAAAAAATAAGTTTTGTGCAATCATAAAAAAGCTCATTTATTTGAACATATTTAGGTTGAAACGTGTAAAAATAATTTTTTTTCAATTATCATGAAATATTGTTACAGTTTTGGTTAATTCAGTTTAGAGTAGCCACTAATTTACAAAATGTTAACTGACTTTTCATCGAAAATCAATTAAAATGTTCATATTATTTATGTTTTATGTGCAAAATTGCATTACATCACAAAAATCAAGACTTTGATGTGCGAAACAACAACGCAATTTTTTAAATTTAATTTTCAATTTTTAAATGTAATTTTCAATGTTTTACTAATATGTTTTTATGTACATAGTGTGCTAATGAAAACAGTCCACTCCTTAATTTTAAATAGGGAATGGCACATCATTGGAAAGACAATTTTATAGTGAATTCAGTAATGACTGTTCATTGCGTTACTTTTGATTTTAGCGCCCTCTAGTGGGCTAAGAAACTATTACGTATTGTAAAGTGTGACATTTCATTTGAAAGCTAATTTGATTAGTAATTTAATGCGAAGCATAAATTTGTTATTTTGGTTGATTGCGATTAAAGTTAAATTGATATATTAACTTTAATAGCAAAGATATTCAATTATTTAGGTTCATGTTTCATTTAATTATGTTTTTGGTATATTGAGCATTAAACAATTATCTTTTAATTGAAGTGTCACACTTTATAATAATACGTAACAGTTTTTATCCCACTAGAGGTAATTAAAATCAAAAATAACGCAATGAACAGTCATAATATAGATATTGCAAATTTCTATAATAGTGCTGACGTAATTAGAGGCAAATAAATTCCATGCTAAAATAACACTTATTGCAAACCTGAAGCTCTGACATATTCCTAACCTCATTTTAAAAACTTTCAATTATAATTCAGCTTTGCTGTTATTAATAATATGAAAGATGCATTAGAAATGGCCATTTTCAGAGATTTAGAAGATGATGATGATGATATTGAATATTATAAAACTGATACGAATATCGGCGAAAGCTAATAAAGTCGCCACTATTTGCTGCCGTTAAATCTTCAATTAAGGCCAGGCACTATATTTTAAGTGATGTGCCACGCATGGTACATTCCATATTTAAAATTAAGAGGTTGGGGAAGAGAAAGGAATAGCTATACAAATGAAAGATGTCTTATTTGGATGACAAATTGACCTGTTTTAACATTAAATCATTACTGCCAAATATCAAAGGACTGTTTTCAGCAGTCCACTAATATCACTCCTGATTATCCAAAAAGTGGCCATTCCGATTTTATTTCATTAATAAGTTATCTTTATGTTTTACAATATTATACAAGATATGAAATTGACTGAAGGTCTAAACAATGGATGATTTATGAAAGTCACACAAAGAGAAGAAGATGAGACCAAAACTATCTAGTAATATGTTTACACATGTTCATAATGAACCAATAAAACATAAGTAGAATTAAATAAAACAATTTTCTTTCCTGATCATGGATATATGGCTTTCGAATACTTTCTGGATCTAAGAAAAATATTACAATATATAAATAAGTGAAAGTATTATTTTCTACTTTCTCCCCTTAAAGGTAATAAACTAGATAATATTTGTACTTAGGTTTTTCTCCTTTTGAGAATAAAGTTGTTCCAGAGCATGCTCTATAATATCTAATAATCCTTCTGAAAGTTCTTTGGCAGTGTAAGGATTATCAAGAGGTGGTACATGAATAAACAGTACTTTTGACGGATCTATATTCAGTGAAGTGTAGTAAATGAATTCACAAAGGTATCTGAAACAAAACGGTATTGATTATGTCTAAATATTATTTTTCAGTCCAAAAATCTAGATTATTAATAATAAATTTTTGGACATTAATTGTTGTATACTTGTCTATAGTAATGGCATATTATTTATATCAGAGATGTGTAATAAACTTGGCCGAGGATTGATACTGGAGACACACAGATTAAATATCCACTCAGGATTATTTAAATAAATCAGTATTTACTTAAAAATGTAAGTTTTATTATATTAGCAACATCTTAACAGTGGGCTTCACACAGAACAATGAATAATAAAAAGAATGACAAATGACACTAGTGATAGTTTGCACATGAATACACTTTGGTGTGTATGTATGGAGAGTAAAAAAATATTTTAGTCAAATAGGAAAGCGTTATAACAACAAAAACAAACAAGAAATAATACGTTAAAACTGATTAATCATACATCAGAATATTGAACTTGGACATTTTTGACACATTCCTACAGATACCCGTTGATCTCCACCGGCCAACTCGGGGAAGAGTGAGCGCGCTCTGAGTACGTGATCTGTAGCAAGCCGAACACAAAAGAGTGGGCTCTGAGTGCCAAAATGACCACAATTGAGGCATACCGAGTGCACTCTGAGTACAGCGAACCCTAAACCGAACTCAGCCTTTATAGAGGTTCTAGCCACGCTTTTCACGTCAAGCTTTTGTACTGTAACTGTCAATTACTGAAATGTCAAATATAATGAGAAAATATAATCGTATTTTTTATAGTTTTCAAAAAGTTTTAACAAAAAGTATTACTCGTTCCCCAGTAAACACTAATATGGCGGAAACTTGTCGACCGATGATTAAAATCATGATACAAAAATACGGCAATTCACATTGAAGTTTCGTTTAACGTTTAGGGCCATATTTACAATTATTGGCACTTTTTACTGCATATTAAGTGGAAATTAATGTTATTTCAATCATACTTTTCTCAGGCGCTTTTTAGGCACATTTTTTCCCCTGAGCGAGCAATAATATTTTAAATTACATCATGTTTGCCGGGCCGGCACTACGATGTTTATGGACTGTTCGATTCGATTAATTTCACAATGTTGGTATATCTGTCGGAAAAAATGTTACACACCATGCGTGGGTTGTGTCTTGTCAAAAGCGTCGTATAGTTTTTACTTCACGTTTGTTTGGGTGTGGCGAGTTGTAACTTACTGAGGAATTTTCTTGGCTTTATGTGAAAACTTTATAAGAGCCAATAATATATAAAATGGAAGAGACACCGGGTAAAAATGCAGTTTAAACTGAATCCGCGCATTACTAATTTTTATAGTTTATGTGGAAGTATATGTCACTGGAAGCTTAAAAATAAAAAAAATGGCAGTCACTAATTTAAATAAATTTAATCGCTTTTAAAATTTTCACTTGTATTTGCCAATGCAGGAGATGTGACGTTTGTGTACTAGCTTACTGTGAATGTTAATTTTATGTGACAGTAGATTTGAAATATATTTTTTTAATATTTAGTTCTTGCGTTTCTTCTGATAATAGATTGTATTAATTTAGAAATAATATGTAATATTATATCGCAAGTGCAGCGTTTGGGTGTATTACAGCAAAATAATAAAATCAAAATAAATGTTCAGTGGATAAATGTGATGGCTATTTTGTAATGACGCCATGTGCAAAATCGGTAGATGCAATGGACACATAAACAAGAGTAACTCCGATGTCTCCAGGGCGTATAGGTTAGGTAAATTATTTAGGTTTTTTCAATTTTTCTTTTTTTATGTATACTTTTTTACGAAATAAAGTGCGATGCCTCCAGGCCGCACAGGTTAAGTAAATTAGTTAGGTTTTTCTTTTTTGTATATTTTTTTGCGAGGTAATCCCGATGTCTCCAGGCCGTATGGGTTAGGTAAATTATATGAGTTTTTTATTTTTCGCTTTTTATGTATACTTTTTAGGAAACAAGCCGCGATGGTTCCAGGCCGTACATGTTAGGCAAATTAGATAGGATTTTATATAATTTTTGCGAAATAACCTGCGATGGCTCTAGGACCTACAGGTTAGGTAAATTAGTTAAGTTTTTTAAATTTTTCTCATGTTATGTATAATTTTTTGAAGAAACAACCCGCGATAGCTCCTGGCCTCACAGGTTTGGTAAATTAGTTAGGTTTTTTCTTATTTTATGTATATTTTTTGTGAGGTAACCCCTATGTCTCCAGGCCATATAGGTTAGGTAAATTAATTTTTAAATTTTTTTTTTAATTTAGCATATTCTATAACAAGAAATTAATCAAAACATATTTTTAAGCGTTTCTAAGGCAAAAAAAGTATTTTGAAATGTGTTTCAGAGGGTCTAAAATGACTTAAAAAATCCCGTTTGACCGATGGCGGATTTTTCCTTCTTTTATTTATTTTCTGATGAATAAACACATATTTTTTAATTATTGATGTTTTATTTTGCAAATATGGAAAAAAAATTGGGGGGAGGGGATAAATTTCATGAGACCTCCGGGATATTCTTTCAATTTTGTGTTTGGAAGGCTTGTTTACTTATGAAAAACCTTTTTTTTTTTTTTTGTAAAATGTGGATTCACTCTAAACTGCATTTTTTCCGAAACTAAAAAAAGATAAAACTTGTACCAATAATTTTATGCACAGATTGTGATAAATTTAGTAAATGTCTAGTTTGACTCAATTTGAGGTCATTTCGATTACACAAAAACTAAGCATAGGTATTGCTGTATTGCTATTGTTAACAAAAAGTTCCATATTTTGTGCAAATGTATAATAAAGACACAAATCATTTTTGTAAAGAAAAATATGCCATTTTTTTCCATTAATTTTCTCAATTTTACGAATAGGGGTGCTGGGAGGGTAAAACAACGTCAATAGTTATATTATAAACATTGTTGGGGCACGAGATTTATTAGAAACGAATTGCTGTACTTTTGATACTAAATAATTGTAAAAGTAAACTTTTGTACGACTTGGCAACAGTGTCCGAGCATTGATATGAGAAAATTTGTGAAATATTTCTATTTAAAAAAATTCATTGTGTCTTTATTATTAATTTGCACCAGATATGGAACTAAGATTTTTTGTTTACAATAGTGATACCTACAAATACGTATGCTTAGTTTTTCATAAGTGAAAAGAGCTCAAACTAGAAAATGACAATAAATTTAATGATAAATTATTATTTTTGCTAATAAAACTAATATTTTATTGAAACTTAAAACAATGTACAATTTTATTTATTTTTTAGAACTGCTTCTCAATTAAAGAAAACAAGTGGAGAGTCAAAAAGATGACCTTAAATATTTAGTACTTCTGTCACAAGTCACAACCAAGTGCCGATGTGGGATGTGGAACGTGGAACCATTCAATGAATACAAAACCTTAGAAGGTCTAGAGTGTACAGAGTCGAGAACTTTCTTTGTACAATAAAGAAACTTTCAAATGCGTATTAAGTATTAATTTACATTCCCTGTTTTTTCTCATTCATCTTCTTTTAAATTTTGCTGAAGTTGTTAAAATGATTTACTGTTTCCAATTTTTATAAGGAATGGTAAATATTTTAACCATATTAATATTTTGTTAAATAACACTAGGTGAAATGTTAGCTTCTGAATGGACAAAGATATTATTTAAAAATCAGTAAAGTATTTTACCCAGAACTTCCCTCGATACAGACATTGTAATTTAAATAATTTAAAACCACCGAACCAAAAACCCTTTTTCACATTTCTCTCTCCATCGATATTTCTGTTGATTCCACCTGAAATCTCACTTCGCATTTAAATTCTTTTGTTATTAATGGAACAATTTATTATAGTTTTAATTTATTTTTTGTTAAGCAGTAAGGCAAAAAAATAAAATATTAAATAAAAAAAAATAACTTTAAACTGACTTTTGTATAGTGTGTGTCACTTTTGTTTTAAAGGTGCGAATTCGATTTAATAACGTCCTATATAGTTGGGTTCTAGCAATTTTTTTAACATGTAAATTTCTAAACAGAAATCGTCCTTATCTCGCCAAATAGAAAAGTTAATTAAATAAATTACCTAGATGGCAAAATATACTGAAAAAATAAATGAAAAAAGTTCAATGTACATATGTAAATAAAATATCAGATCTACAAAAAAATTAAGTGTTTTATGTTTATCAAGAAATTTCTTAGCTATATAAAGTTAGCACAATAATTTTATCACAACGTTTGCGGACTTTATTGTGCTGTTCGCAATTTTTGTGTAAAAAATGCCTTTTTAGAGGCACTCTGAATACAACTAAAAAAAAAACAATTGAATACCAAATATGACGTCTCAGTTCCGTATAATGTTATATGAAATTTTATTTAAAATAGGCCAATAAATTACCTTTTTATTGACATAGTATTTCGGAACATCCTGTATATTAGAACTCTATCAGAATGGACTAAGATATTATTAAAAAAAGTATAATAACGGTAGAGTAAACCCTATTATTTTCAGTTTATAAAAAGGTATTTGATTTTCATTTAAAATGTACTAATATGTGTAGTAGTCACTACCCCGTTTATTTTGAATTCTACGAGCCGGTATTATTGCTTAAGAATTCATGAGTAATTTAGATAGATAAAATGTGTATCATACTTCATTTTGGATCGAATATTTGACTGAAACGGTTAATTATTTTATATTTTCGGATAAATTGTTAGTTTGTTATAAAATAAACATTGGTGCAAGTGTTAGTGTAGGTACTTTATTGTCATATTTACTGACTGTACTGACTACATGTGTATATAAGCCGTTTTTCCAACAATAAATAAAAATAAATAAATTAAAATAAATAAAAAATATTAAAAATTATTAGAAAATATTAAAAAAAATTAGGAATTAATAAAATATAATAAAAATTATTAAAAACTATTAGAAAATATTCAAAAAAAATTAATGAAAATAAATTAATAAAAATTAAAAAATCAATAAAATTAATAAAAAAGCTAATAAAAATTGTTGGCGGTATCGCTTGAAAAAAATTCTCTCGAGTGACGCAAAGCGGGATCGGGTCAGCTAGTACCATATATTATATGTAGCTAACTCTATTAGTATTCACTTAGGAGCATATTAATGCAGGAAAAACCAAATATTCGTGCTGTGTCAGCACATTAAAATATGGTTTGTGCTTTAAGGGTTATGTTATTAAATGACTGGGGAGCGCCAAGAAAATCAACTAACGAGAAGATGATGAATTTGGGTTGGAAAGTGAACATTCTGTGATTCTTAAAGTGTCCACCAACTTAAAACTGAAGGTTCTAGTTTCTTCTCTATTCCCAGTTAATCTCAAGAGTTTTTGGGCATTCCCAGGTATTATTAGGCTAATGGAGACAATATGCTCCTGAAAAGGGATTGATTTTTTGAATTTAAGAAATTTACAATTTGTCTCGAGACTCTTTAAATTAACCTGTTACCTCTTTGTTAGTTTATTTTTTTTTTTTATTTATTTAAAAATGTACCTATTTGTTGATTGTCAGTCAAACATATAGAGCAATGGCTCTAGGCCATAAAGATTAGATAATTTAGTTTTTTTTTTTTATTATATATAGCTTCTGAAATTTTAACTAAAAAAACTCTGAGAAAAATATTCTTATTCTAAAAATATCAGAGATGCATATTGTACATTTGGTTGAGTGGAAAATCTAACCTATCTAGATCTTGGTATAATTTTTGAATTATTAAGTAGAAAAATCCCCATACTAATGGGTTTTTTAAACACCTACTGATTTAACATGATTTTATTGAGTACATTTGTAAACTTATCAGTTTTTGCTTTATTCAGAAGGTTGTCAAGAATACTTTTACCAATTTAGACAAGGTAATAATAATAATTAGTTTTTCAACTATTGAAATTAAACTTACCTCCCTGCATTGCTAGACATACAAGCATTTAATTTTCCAGTATTATTCAGTTTAGCACACACATCTGCTACATTGATTCCAGTATAAATACATTCCTCTCCAGAGTCACAGGCTGTACCTGTAGAATGAGTTGCACCAGTAACATCAAGCCTTTTATAACCATCTCTTTTTGCACATTTTTCTAAAGTGATTTGTTTTGCTTCCCCTGATACTCCAACATGAATGACTAACTAAAAATGCAAAATTGAACAACTAGGTCAAGAAAAAGAAAAACAGGAAGTAATAATTATACTTAAATACAATATATTCATGGGCCAATAACTGATTTAAATTATCTTGTGTGAAACAGATTTTTGGGTTGGGTTTTGACTCTTGGGGCTAGGGTAGTTCGGATTAAGATAAAAAGGCCAAACTTGGTATATGGATGTATTTTCCTATCAATGTGAAAATCATATAAAAAAATCAAGTCCTCACTCCATAGCTAATATTGAGGGGTTTCACCACTTTTCACCCTCAAAAAATGAAGTTAGGTTTTTTAATAAAACCGTTTTTTTACATGGAAATTCAAAATATTTGGATTTGGAAATATTTTTTACATGATTCATCATGTGTAAAAATAGTTACAGAAAGGATAAAAATTTAATTTTGGGTACATTTACAATAGATTAACAAAAAGAAAACTTGCTAAAACCATGATTAATTCACTTTTGTGTTTAAATAATTGAGCAGATAAATAAAACCATTAATATGATTTTATAATGTATTTTAATGAAAGAATATAATTAGGGTGAAGCAAAAAAACTTATTTTCGAATTTGCCAATCCCTGGGTGCAGAATAGTTGCCTTTTTATCCACAAAAAAATCAGTTTAAAAAAAATTATATTTTCAGGTTCCTTTTTTGATTTTGAAATTTTATTATTACAAGAAAAAACTCTATTTTTTTACAGATATGTTTGGTGGACTAAAAGGCATTTTTTAAGGCAACGTTTCCACACTTAGGCCAAATAAAAATTCAAATTTCAAATTATTGACTACTACGTATTATCTATCATAAATCTTTTTTGATTTTTTTGTTTTATAAATATGGAACCTGAAGCCATTAAAATTTTTCACAGGTATTTTTGATGGAAAAAAGCAACTTTAATTGCCAACTTTAATTGCCAATTAAAAATTTAAAATGTTTGTCCATTATGTATTATCTTACATTTTTTTTATTTTTTTTTTTTATAAAAATGGAACCTGAAGCCGTTACAATTTTTCAATTTTTTTTCACAGGTGCTTTCGATGGACAAAAAGGCAACTTTTCCACACCAAGGCCAACTAAAAATGTACAATTTAATTTTTTGTCCATATGGAATCACTCCACCCTAATATACATACCTACATATGTAATGTACAATATGTATGTACAGTTTATACATGTAATGGTTAAGACAACCCCGCCCAGCCTGTTGCATCGGCGCTTTTGTTTGACATGTATGTATGTATTCACTCTTTTTTTTTTCACTGAAATTGATTTCGGATTATAACCAGTCTGGATTATCAACACTCTACTGTACATAAAAATCTTACACCCAAAATCCACTAGAGGGAGATAGAGAGAGTATCATGCTCAAACAATGAAGTTAGAACTTTTTAAGTAAAACAATAAGATTTTTTTCAAATACATAACAAATATTTCAATTTTTTTGATATTTTTTTTTTCAATTTTGGGAGTCTATATAGAGTAGATTCCAACTGTTTGATTAAAAAAATCCAACTTCATTTATGAGCATGCCACCTCCCCCATCTCTATATCTCTGAGTATCTCTCTCACTAGGGTACCAAAAATTAGATTTTTACTCGGATTTTTATCTCCTTTCTAACTATTTTTAAATGCCCCCACATTAAAACTATAATGGTTCAAATTGAATATTTTTGAAAACACTTGAAAATATGGGTTTGTATGTAGAAAAAATTGTAACTTCATTTTTTGAGGGCAACACCTCTTCTGTTAGCTAGATGATTGTAGGAGCTGGATTTTTTTTATGAAATTTTCATATTTATGGGAAAATACATGCTTAAAGTTTGGTCTCAATAACAACCTGAACTTCCCTAGGCCCAAGAGCTGAACCCCAACTGATTTTTGCTGTAGAAATTAGGATTTTCTACATTTTCTTTGTAACTTTGTAAAATTATCAAAATAAGCTTTATAGGTATCTGTGCCCAAGTGAATTTTGGGCAATAAGCAATCTGAAAATTATGAAACTGTAAAGCAGTATTGTGGACACATTTTAAAGTTTAAAGGTAAGAAAAAAATATTTTAAAGCATTTGCAGGGCAAAAAAGTATTTTGAAATATGTTTCAGAGGGTCTAAAATGGTCTTAAAAAAATAGCTCTTTCGACCGTTGGCGGATTTTTCCATTATTTCTTTAGTATAGGATATATACCTACTGTTGGGAACTATTAGTTGAAAGCTATCACCATACAATCAATATTTTACTTTGATACAATTATAAAATTTTGATTTCTATACTTACCAGTGGTTTGTGTTCTTCCCATAACTGAGGTATTTTTGTTTGAATATGGGAATATTGAACTGGTATTTCTTTTTTTATTATAGTAATCCCATTAATTTCATCAGGTAATAATCGTACAGCTTCCCAACTGGCATTTATTGTGTGGCCGAAAAAGGGGCCAAAACCAGTTACAACTATGCTATCTGACATTGTAATAGTTTTTTAATTCAATTTGCATTCTAAATACCTTATTTATTTTAGGAATCAGACAAGTCAAATATTAAGTTATGAAATATATTCAGTCTTGTTCTATTATACAGCTTAATTTTAAATTACAAAAATTAAGTCGAGATTAAAGAGTACTTAGATAAAAATGATTTTATTTACAGAATTAATTTTCTTTTATTATTATTTACCAAATTAATTCATTCTTCTCAAATGTAAATTATTTTCTCCATTCTTCTCTTGCCCTTGCCTCTAACGGTAAACAGCTAAATCGCAGCCCATGATGACAGCAGTGACATTAGCTCGCTATACAGTAAAAGGGAGGTACGAGTTTATAAAAATAAAAAGAAGTCGAGCCAAACTTTTCTTATCTGTCTACTCTGCTGTCAAAATATTTGAATTTTTAGTTTTATTAGTTTATTTTATTACTATTTATTACATTATCAAATTAAAACCAAATAAAGTGAGTCATGTTAATGTGAACAATACATTTTTGAAGCCAATCAACAATTTTCCATGGTGTTTTCTAAAATACAAGTAATGATATTAAAATGGCAAGATTGTTCACTTTCCATCAGTTTTCCAAGTGTTTAACAGTAACAAAAGTTTCCAATAAATTTCAAATCAGAAAATATAAAACAATTTTAGGAGATAAGGTTACCGAGCTGGGTGAAAAGACACTTACAGGTCGCCTATTAATGTATTTTAATAATTTTAATGGTACAACAAATCAAGTAAAGGAACCTACAACAAAGTTTGAACAAATAAATTTCAATGCTTTGAATTTCAAACACTGTAACATAGAAGAGATCAAATCATCAATTAAATATTTGGATATTAGCCAGAACTTTTCAAAGTTACGTTTACTGCAAACTTTAGATAAAGAATGTAGTAAGAGACTGAGACATATGAAAACAACAGACATTTTTGAAATCCTCCATATCTTTATGAATAAACTGCCAAATAGAATAATAGAATTAAACTTTTATAACGTTTCACTATTGGAGTTATGTAATAGATTACAATATCTCAATAAAAATGAAATAGTTCAATACATTTTCTATATTGGTCTTAGAAAAAAAGACAGTAGATGTCATGAAATAGTGAGAGAATGTTTGAATCACTTGAGTAAGTCAGGATTGGATAAATTAACAACAGAAGACTTATGTGTAATTTGCAATTCTACATTTAAAACTACCACCAGAATTAATGAAGAATTTTTATCTAAAATAATTACATATATCCATAGTAATTTAGAGCTGTTCAATGATCCTGCATTCTTTATAACTTTTTTGAAAAGTATTAGGCACAACAGGTACCAAAATGAAGAATTGTTGTCTACCATGACCTGTACAATATTTTTTAATAACACCCTAAAACATTATTCATTTTCTGCACTGTGTCATATTTTGGCTATATATTCAGACTATTTATACTATGATGAAAATATATTAAATGTTTTTGCTCAAAAATGCATCAGTCTTTTAAAATGTTCCCATTATAAAACAAAAAAAGAACATATGTCGGCACAACCAAGACTTAAAGACATTAAAAGACTACTTTGGTGCCTCAGTAATCTGAATTATAATGGACTAGAAATTAGTGATATTAAAAATGTGATAATTCCAAGTATTTTACAAAGAGTTGAACAAGGTGATGTTGAGGATAACTTTTCTACTTTGATTGAAATTAGCCTTTATTTATGGATGTTAAATTATCGAGCTTTTGAACTTCTGCCTTACTTCTTAAATAAAAATATCATAGAAAGCATAAATAGTAAGTAAAATATGAATTTAACATTTTTAATATTGTTTAAATATCTTTGATTTTATTTACAAATCGTAGAGGTATAGCAGGGGTAGAAGTTGAAAGGGCTTTTGCCAGTTCTTCCACTTTATACACATAAATTGACAGGTTGTGGTGGATATAACTGATGTGGACGCGATACATTGGCATACAAAAATATTTTATATAGTCTGGGATCTGTAAGTAATGTCGACCTTTATCCATCTGTTTAATGGTTAACAGTTTTTTTTATTAAATAAAATATGTTTTTGAATATACAGCAAATAGGTTGCCTAGGAAAATACGGTCACGGCCATTTTTTACTTTCCTTTCTGTGTACAGATTTGGAAAATATAGGAATCATGATAAAAGTTGCCTATGATGTCATTCTCTATTATTTTGTTCCTATACATGATTTTCCTAAAATGGACCTAATTCGAGATATTTAAGGAAAAGTGTAAATTTTGAAGATAACTCAAAAGAGAAAAACACCAAATTTTAAACTTAAGCTTTAATCCATCCTAAGGTAAGCTGATTAAAGTTTGGGCATAGTCAAAGCACCTGGGGAATACTTTACAGGGTGTCGTTTTTTTTTTACTTTAAGAAAATAAATGGTCTGAACCGTATTTTCTTAGGCAACCTATTTGCGGTATATTTATAAACACATTTTATTTAATAAAAAGAAACTTTCATCCATTAAACATATGGGTGAAGGTCGACCTTACTCCGGATCTTAGACTAATAGATGCTATAATAAGAATTTTGAACAAATAGTTTAATAAATTGTGAATAGCTGTTGAAATTTTGTAAAATTATGATTTGAATATTATAATACATGTTTAATAATTATTTATAGTCCATAAATACATGGGATTGCCTGGTTCCGCCGTAACAATTTAAAATTATTCTATGAAACAACACTGGCAAGTAAACATTACTGCAAAATTCTCGAAGCCGTCCGACGTGTTTGACGTTTACCCCCTCTCTACCTACCAAAAGCCTTTCCAGCTTCTATACATGCTATACATTGAAAATTAAAAATTTGGGCATTTCAACAGTGCCATAATTATTGTCAGAGCAGTAAAAATTTAATTTTTTTGTGGAGAGTTAATTCAATTTTTACTTTCCTGTCTGTATACAGAAAGAAAGTATAGGGATCATATCATAATTTTTTTTGACTTCGAGTTTTCGACAGATTTAGGGTCCACTGAATCAGTTTTGACTATTTTCGTGATGATGTCTGTCTGTGTATCACTGTATCCACGATAACTCAAAAACATATAAAGAGTAAAACACTAAATTTTATGCCTAAGCTGTGATCCATTCTCTAATAAGTTGATTGGGCATAGTCAAAGCATCTGGTGGGTACTTTTATAGGATTCTACTTTAAGTAATATATCAGTTATTTATGCAACAGGAAGATACTTCGTTGAATAAAAGTTGTCTGTGATGTCATTCTCTATAAATTTTGTCCTATGGACGATTTCCCTAAAATGAAAATTTGACAAAAAGTGCAAAATTCGAAATTTTAAGAAAATTGTTCAAATAAAAGTTGTTTGCGATATCATTTTCTGTAATTTTTATTCTATACATGATTTCTCTAAAATGGACCGTAATGGAAAAAATTGAGAAAATGTCTGGAGAAAAGTAAACTTTTAATTTTTCAATATATTCTTTGGCAATTAATATATATAAAAAATGGTTGGAGTAAGATGGAAAATGTATGTATTTAATTCATCCTCTAAATATTTACAGGGGTGATACAATAGATTGTACAGAATAATCAAAAAGCCTATAATTTTAGGTAAGACCGGAAAGTCATGTGTTGGACACATCAGACTTTTATGGTTAATATGTCTCTTCAATTAGAGGATGTTTCTTTTATAATCATTTTGGGAGGGTTTCTAATACGTCAAAAACAGTATTCACCATGAACAATTATTTACGGATCACACTGTCAACAAAGTGAACATTCCAATAGCAAAATTTAACGGCATACGTCCATCTGGGTAATTTTGGTTTTACTACTAGTTCTTTATATAATAATGTAGGTTGGGATAACTATTTTCTATCGATGTTATACATAGTTGGTATAATTTTTAATGTCTTAGTTTATGGCATAATAACAGGCACTGTTTAAGGGAACTATGCAGGTCAATCTTTTGATATAAACTACTGTTGTCCTAGTATTGCTACTTTACTACCAATACTAAGTTTGATTTATTTATGGTGGTTTGGCCAGAGCATAAAAGAAAGGTTTTACACCTTGAACACACCCTGTAGTTATGGCTGTGACAATTATTATGTCATTGATTAATTGCTAAAAATATTCATTTTTTTTTTCTACTTAAATATTTCATATCATCCTCAGTGTAAATCGCAAAGTGCGTAACCCCATTACGAAAAATTTTACAGGAGAGAAAAAAATAATTTAAATTATAACCCTTGAACATATTTAAACTGAATTTTTTTTCATGAGAATTAATGTAATTTAGATGAATAATAAAAATAAGCATTTCATTTATTATAATTTGAAATTAATTTTGTTTTAGGGTTAAATACTCCGATCAAGCAAAGGTTAAATCTTCTTTTAACATGTATGTTTTATGAAGAAAAAAAACTTTTGAGGGAAATTGGTACTTATCCAAAGACAAATGTAGATTACAACATGACCACCCAATTTGAAAAACGACCTTTATTGCAAAAAGTTACAACCAATCTGAAAGATATTTCTAGAACACATGAATTAAATAGATTTGAAGTCGACTGTCAAGTACCAGGAATAAATATTATTGGTATAACTGGTTACAAAAAAAATATTTATAAAAGTATTTACATAGAAGTATTGGATGATTATACAACTCTGAAGAATACCAAAAGTTTACCAACAGGATTAATGCAGCTCAAATTAAGATTATTGGAACATTCAAATGAAGCTGTCATTTTGGTGAGTTATTTTTAATCGTGTTCTTCATTGTTGAAATATGAATAATAATTTGACTAAGATGATACAGTTTATCATGATACAATTTTTCATAAATTACCTAACAGCAAGTTACTTATTCTTTAAAAAGTACTTATTTATTACTCAAATTTAAAATTAAATAATCTGTTTTGATTTAAATTACAGAGTTTATTCATTTTTTAGGTCGATTCAGATGAAATAGAGTCAATGACTGACAATGAAATTCAAAACGTGTTATTAGAAGAAATGGAGTTTGTGTGCTGAATTTTTTTCCAGTAATGAAATGATTCAAATCTTAAAGCAGGTTAATCAGTAAAGATTAATCCAAAATTTTGAAGGTAATATTTAACATGGTTTTTTTTATCAAAATTTATTATTTACTTTTTTTTTATTTAAGCTTGATAAAAATCGTGATTTTAATTAAAGTTAATAAAATATTTATATATAAAACTTATTTGACACTTCAGACAGAAGGTGATGAGAAAAAAGACTTAAGACCTCTTGCGAAAAAATTTTTATGTTTAAAATTATATCTTGAATAAGTGAATACAAAAGGAATATATTTGAAAGTTTTTAAAATTATTTAGATTATTTTAATTAGTAATTTACTATTGTTTTGTGATATCATTTAGTTAACACGATATTTGGTATTTCACAATTGATGATATTTCCATAGAAATAATTAATTTAAATACATTATAAAAAGAGTTAAACAAAAGGGTATGTAGTCCGATAAATATTTGTTTCTTAGATAATTTAAAAAAAATTGTATTTGTTACTTAGTTCTGAAAGTTTTACAAAAAATTGTGATTACATTTTTATTTATTTTTTTTCTTAAGTTTATAATTAAACTAGTTATAATTAATTACGCGGACTCTTCAACTGAAATTTGCAAGATCGCTTTCTTTTCATATCCGCCACTGGATTTTTTTTTATTGACGATTTATCACAAAATTTTATTCTTGATGGAAATTGGTGTACGACCTAAAACTTAAATCTGGCCCTTATTTTTAAAAATAGACCCATAACCAAATTTTTTATTTTAGCAATCTGAAAAAAGAACTTTTACATATGAAATTCAATAAATTTATTTAATTCCATGTAATACTTTTTAGTAAAAATATTCTAGCTCTTTAATAGGGTAGATGCGGGGGCATAAGTACGCAATTATGACTTAAAGCTCATTAATGACTTAAAAATATTAACAAGATATTTGAAATTATAAGACGAACATAACAAAGCATTTACTTATTTATGTACCTACAAGCATGGCTAAAAATATCTTGAACTTTTATTTTAACGTTTGTTGGCAATCATGCACTTGCGCATTTTTACCCCTCTTCATATGGGACAAAAATACACTATATAAAGTACTTATTGAAAATAAATTCTACCAAGGTAAAAACATTTATTGAATTAGAAAACACATGATCATGAATTAAAATTAATTTTTAATCCAGCAATTTTCATATTGTTGGAGATCATTATTAAAGTGGATCATATTGGCAAAACGCCCAGACTTCGATAGTTGGGAACGTGAAAGTTTTTATTAATGAATGCACTTTCTTCAGTCTGATTGAACCGGCACATATGAGGTAATCTTTTTAAGACATTTACTTGATATCCCAGTAAGTCAATCTGATAGAATCAAGTCAAAGCTTGTCTGGAACTGCCTTGGAATACTAAATGATCTGGCAACACACAACAAGGTAAAACTAGGGTGGGTACCAGGACACAAAGGTATCCAAGGAAATGAAAAGGCTGATGAACTCGCCAGAGAGGGATCAGAACTACCATTCACAGGACCCTAACCTATATTTGGGATAAGCAAAACCTCTACTCGACAGGCATTGAACAGGTGGATAACCACAGAACACCAAATTCACTGGCAACAGATAAGAGGGCACATAATCAGTAAGCTCATGCTAAGGGGACCAAACACCTTCATGTGATGGGATTACACAATTATCCCACTACGTGTAGACTCTGCATGGAAGAGGAAGAAACCTCATATCATGTGATCTTCGAATACAAAGCTCTTACTAAGTGACGTTTCATCCTTTTCGGTCTAAAACCCCCCAGGAACACTTATTAAAACTAACCAAATACACAGGACTTTTCCAAAGATAATACCTGAATACGGGGAAAGCAGGGGAATACAATAGACCCAAGAGGCCGCAGTGTTCTGGGCCAAACCTAACCCTACCTGCTTATAACCGACAAAGATAAAGTCAATCTGATAAATTTTAGCAATAAACATTCTGTAAGCAGTTTGCGCCGAGTTGTGAACTTGAATATTGGAGGTATCACTATCCTGAAACTGCCACTGACTCGTCAGAAGATTATTCAAACAATTTTTTCATAATCTTAGGTTTTTTGTTTTTGCCTTGTTTTTTTTTTTTCAGTGCTGCTTTCCTTTCTGTTTCTTTTAACTGTGCTTTTTTCTCAGCATGATCTTGTAGGAGTTTTTCCATAATTGGGTGTCGAATTAAGATGAGCAAATTTAATGCTCTGTCATTTCCGTTTCCTAGCTATCTTTATTTTTGGAAATGGAATTATATCCAATGGTGAAGTTAGCTGTTTGCGAAGATCATTATCGCAAGAAGAAGCTGTTGGAGAAGAACCATGAATTGCACTAATGTCAAGATGTTACTCTTCCTCCTCAGGTCGAGAAAACTCAGCAATATTGACCGCAGGCTCTGTAGTTGGAGATACCGCCTCATTTTCCCGCTCTACCTGATTATCGTGTTGTTGGTCCTGTTCATCTGGGAATTAGATTAAAATGTGGTCATCATGAAAAGCTGGGTCTAGTTCTTGATCGGTTACTTCCGATTTTAGAAAATCAACGTCTGTAAAAACTGTTTTATTGTAGGGATGTATCCCTGTAACTTTAAAAGCCCCACCCGCTAATTCCACAGTTGCATCTTTGGCAAAGGCTGTGGCAAATAGTCCAGCTACATGGTAGATTGTTAGAACTTGTTCAGGATTTGAAGTCGGCCAGCCATCAGCAATCTGTTCATAAAATGATTTCAATGGCATAAAGAACCCTTTATCTAAGAGTTGAGTTCGGTGACTACTATGAGGAGGCAGGTTTACCATGTGGATATGGTTTTCTTTTGCAAAAAGTACAGCTTCTAGATCAGGCCTGCATAACTGAGATTTTCAAAGGGCCGGTTCAAAAAAATCGTAGGTGTACGAGGGCCAAGAACGGATGTACATTTGTTTGGCGAGGGGATCAATTTATAAAGCAAGTAGAGGTCTTCTATTGAGCTTCAAAAAAAAAGGTCTTCAGCTTATCATGAACCAGGTTCTTCTATCGAACTCCTAAAAAAGACAATACCTAAATGCAATTTTCTTACTGAAAAATATATAGTTTGACGTAGGCGGGCCAAATTGGTAAAGGGACAAAGGGCCAAGAAAACGACAATGGCGGGTCGCAAGCGGCCTGCGGGTCATATGTTGTGCAGGCCTGTTCTATACTAACGTGTGATACATGATTATCCAGGATGAGTAAAATCGGGTTTTCTTTTGACAGATTAGTGTGGAGCTTCAAATGTTGTAGATATTTGATGAATGTAGGAATATTCATATAACTACTGTCTGTGACTGCCACGTCGCATCCATTTGGCCCTTCTTTAATGAGTAAGAGATATACTCTTTTCATGGCGAAAAATAAATATGGAGGAATGTAATGACCTGTACGATTCATGCAGCAGACAACTGTTACTGTTTGCCCTTGCTCAGCAGCTACAGCCTTAGCTATATCTTTCTTTCCCACAGAAGCAACGTGCTTCGGTAATTTATTTGGAACTGTCTAGATTCCAGTTTCATCAGTATTATATATCCGGTTCGCTGGAAACATCAATTTTATTATTTAATTGATTTCTGTTAAATCACATTATTCGTGCAATGCTTGTTCTCTGAGGTTGTCTTAAGGAAAGCTTATTTCTTTTTAAGGACAGCCTAGTAAAATCTCTTCCTGCTGATTTCTTTTTTGAAGAAAAAGGATGCTTTACTTTATTTTTTCAGCGTATACAAAAATAAGGTAACGTAAGGATTTAAGGGTTAATCCATAGAATCGTTTATCTAATTCTTTACTGTGTTGCACCATCTCAGTTTCTGGAATATCTGCAAACACTGGTCTGAACCTATCCAAACTATTGGCGCCTTTTCCTTTTTTTATTCGGCTTCTTAATGTTGCTTTAGAAAATCCTAAGGCGGCGGCAGATTTTCAAATGGGTAAACCACTACTGATTAAATCTTGGGCCTGTTTAAATAAGGCATACGTCAGAGGCTTCTTCTCACTTATAATTTCTGAAAAACAAAAATTAATTAGGAACTTCAGGTAGGTAGACAAACAAGAACTCTTTATTTAAGTTAACAAAAATATTAAAAGTTCATAAAAAAGTCTTCTTTATCTACTTCAGATAGGTAGACAAACAAGAACTCTTTAAGTTAACAAATAAATTAAAAGTTCAAAAAAAAGTCTTTTGATATTTTTTAGATTAGGTAATATTTCCTTGACAAATGGGACAAAAGTAGGCATACACACTTTTGCCCCATTTGTTCTGCATACTTTTCCCCTTTTTCATTTACTAACATTTAAACAAAGATAATCTTCAAATACATGTTTATGCTTAAAATAATATCGATTGAATATAACGTTTTGATCCCTTGAAAAATTTCAGACATACACAGTTTTAAAGTGAACCTTTTCTAAGATATAAAACATCAAAGACCTTCTAAAATTACATTACAAAGCACAAAAAATATTTTACCTCATTTTTTAAAAGCACGTGTTTCTTTGCTTATAACGTTTCACACACGCATCTAGTACACGACTTGCCAGTGTAATATTTCAGTGACACCAATGAAAAACATTCTGGCGGTAAATTTGACTGCTTGTGTACTCTTGTCCCATGCGTACTTTTGCCCCCACCTACCCTATGCCTTTTTTTTATGTAGATTCAATAAAGTTTAGAAATTTCAAATTTTCTTGGTGGATCGTTATGATTTCATTCCTCATAAGCTATTAAATCATTAAAATATTATTTTGTTGGCCCAAAAACCTTTTGAAAAGAAAAGAGCAATAAATAAGAATTAAAATACATATTCTTAAACTGAATATATATTAAAAGTTTCGATATTTTTAAAATAAGGATAATTTACTCTAGAGTCATATTTAGGTCATGTACTTTACTTTAAAAAGAGTATTATTTTCTGAGAAATCGCACCAATTGTTAGCCACGTTTAATTTTAATAATTAAATTCCAGTAAAACATGTTTATTTAGTTTAAACTGAATTTTAATTTTTGTTAAAGCTAGATTTTTTACTTTGCTAGAATAGTAGGTAATTGGGCAATGAGAGTGGATATGATGCCCATATATCGCAGGAAGATAAAGTTTGTGAAGTGCTTAATCATCTGAACGCGATACGGATAATCCACCTAGGTTGTACAATATATTTTTTTCTACGGCCCATTAGATAAAATTACAAAAAATAATTTAGAGGCTATTAAGATAAAAACTATTTTAATAATAATTAACAAAGATTTAAGTTTATAATCTTTACTGATTTATGAGATAAACTTAAAAATAAAATTATACGTCACCCGGGATTTGAATCCCGGACCTTTCAAATGGGAAGTTAACACTTAAACTATGACACTAACGTTTTATTACAATTTTATAAATTCATCTTTGTAAATATAAACATTAATAGTGTATTGGCATTATTTATCGATTATTCACAAGAATATGATTATAGTTTATCTGAGTAACTAAAGGCACCGACAAATTGTTTGAGAGAATTGTCACTAAATTAAAATTGAAAATTATAGTCGGCCGGATAATAAATAGCTATCATTGGTGAATTTCATATCTAATATCCGTTCAGTAGACTTATATCAGCTACTTATTCGTTCTGCAGTTCATGCACAAAGTTGATAATATATATGTGGGCGTAGAAAAAAATGTATATTTCAAATGCCATTCTTGTGTGTTTATCATATACTAATTTTGTGGTTTTTAAAGTATTCTAATTTTCTACGTATATAGAGGTATTCTCTTGTCCGAAAAAATATGGTACAGTTGGTTTCTGTATTTTAAAGCCATTGCTCATTATGACAATTCCATTTTATATTACTTATTGTAGAATTATGTTATCCAATCCAGTATTTTTTGAATAGTAATAAATTCTTTTTAAGATGAAATGTATTTTATTATTTGAAATTGACTTGATAGGGGAAATTTTTTAATATGCTGCTGAAAGTTTTTTTCAGAAGGTAAGAAATGGAAACTTATATTAAATATAAGTATTATCTTCGAAGACAGTTCTTTTTAAGAATGAGAATTTAAATGGCAAACAAAACTTCATAACAGGATTGCAATAATAAAAGGCTATACTTACTTAATTAATCGTTTAGTAATTAATTCTGTAAAACAGGCTTTTTTTTTCTTCCCCCTTTCAGGTATCTCTCTGCCCCCAATTCGGCTTTTGTCCAGCCCAATTCCCCCAATCAGACTTGGGTTCCAGTCCACCTCCCCTACTCTGAAATTCTCATGGCGGCACTGCAGCCTCATTGCGCCACCATTTGGATGCCATACACCTTCCCATTAATTCAACTTTTATATTCCACTGTCTAGATTGACTCAGCCAAGTCCGACTCAGCTGAGTTCTGTTTATAAATACGGACCTCTTAGTTAATTTCGCGGATGCGTAATACATTTTTCCACTTTTGAAAAGTGTGTTTGGACTAGTCAACTTTTCAGACTAATCCGTCGAACTTGTCCGTGAACTTTTCAAAGCTACCCATCACAATTATTTACGTAAAATCAATGTCAAATTTATTGTCTTTGTGAAAAATTATGACGCTTTACACAGCCTACTAATTTTTATTTCATTTGCTTTAAGACATTTAATGTGCTTTCCGTTTTTTCTATTCAAATATTCAATATCATTGCCTATGTGAACGTCATTTGTGAAAGTAGAAAATTATTTTTTTTTTTCCAAAAAATATTTCCACGCATGGTGGGTACCTACCAAATTTCAACAGAATATTAAAATCAGTCTCAATGAATTCATGGAAAAAATTTGACCATCCAAAAAAATGGTTACTTTTTTTACGCTAAAACGGTGCATCATACAAAAATAAGTCTATAGACCAAATTTGCTCCAAATGGGGATTTAAAAAATAATATTAATTTTTAGAAAAAGCAGAGGCGTGCCATTTTTTCTTCAAAAATATTCCGTTTAAACCCCGTATGAACGTCTCTGGCAAAAATTAAAAAAATATCTTACGTCAAAAAAATGCTCCCCTTAATGATTAAAAGGTGTGTACAAAATTTCATAAAAATATCTGGAGTAATACGAAAATTATGATAAAAATTTTTTTTTTCAAAAATTTAGAGGTTTACGGCATATGATGTTAAAATTGCCCAAAGATTCACATTCATAAGCATCGACACCCAATTAATAAACACCCTGTATAAACAAACGTAGCTGGAACTCGACGCAATTTGAACTGATCTATACATCGTCACTAATGCGCCGTGCTTCTTGAATAATTCTATATTAAACGAGTTTAAAAAATACTTTATTAACAACCATTGAAGGTTGGGAAGTGTCACATTACACACCTCTACTTTCCGCCCTCATTTCATCTATTCTAAAGTCTATTCAGATTTCATTTACGCCGCGTCAAAACAATTTCTCCCATCCAGCAACAGCTCACGTGCCATTTTTTTGCGCTTCTATTGGTTAATCGGTCGTTAGTCATTTAGACGACGCGCAAATATTTTTTGTCAGAGTCGAATTCAGTTCAATTTGGATAATTATAAACGGCGTTTTGGTAGCATTCACTGTGTTGGTTAGTTTGGACATTTTGTATGTTTGATTGATTATAATTCATTATATTATAGTTTAGATATACATATATTGTGTTATTTATTTTTTTTGTTTTTGTGGTTGTTAGTTTGAACATGTTTTACTCTATTTTATGGACATTTAATTGACTATATTTTGTAATTGCTGCGTGACACTATGTCCTCCACAGATACAGCAGATGAAGTCCAGGAAAATGTTTTTACTCCTAAAAAGCGACTGAAAAAGGCACATTTGGTCATCCGTACTAAAGAAATGGTTCTTAATATTTATAAGCATTAAATTTTATAGAACCCTGATATGTTGGTACATGATGTTGAAAGGAGAGTTGCTGATAAAACAGGGATGTGTGCTAAAACCGTTTTTAATGTTATGAAGGAGTATAGACAGATTCATAAATTTTCTGAACCAAAAAGAAAGCTACGTTATAAACAAATTAGTGGCTCTGTGGATGATTTTGATAAAAATGCAATAAGGCGTAAAGTACATCAATTATTCTTTAGAAATTAACTTCCAACAATTGATAAGGTTTTATAAGAAGTCAACGATGATCCATATTTGTCTACTTTTAAGCGAGCTACATTTTACAAGCTTTTCATAACCCTTAATTTTAAATTTAAAACTCGAGGAAAAAATAGTTTGCTTTTAGACAAAAATGAAATTGTTTCGTCCTACGCCACAAAAAATAAAACGGTATAGAGAAGAAAAGCAAAAAATATATTATCTTGATGAGACTTGGATTAACGCAGGCCACACCAAATCAAAAGTATGTTTCGATATGTCGGTTTTTTCATCCAGACAAGCCTTTTTGGATGAACTTTTAACTGGTTTTAAAAATCAGGTATGTGCGTAAAAAGCTCATTATATGCCATATTGGAAGTGAAGAAGGCTTTGTCTCTAATGCACTTTATGTATTTGAGTTGAAAAATCCGGTGACTACCATGAAGAAATGTGTGGAGAATCGTTCAAAGAGTGGTTTTCAAACACCCTACCAAAATTAGAAGATAACTGCATTATTATTCGAGAAAGCTGGAAAAAATATCTACGACGTCTAAAAAAGGTGATATTTAAAAATTGCTATAAGGGAAAAAAATTGAATTCGACTACCAAATGCTTAAGATCCAACTTCTAAAACTTGGTAAGCAACATAAACATTATGATAGGTATGTAATAGATGAAATGGCTAAGCAGCAAAACAACATAATACTTCACATGTCTCCGTATCATTGTGAACTTAACCCTATTGAATTAATCTAGGTTGACGTTAAACAATACGCAGCAGATAAAAACTCAACATTTAAATCTGGAGACATTAAAATTCTTTTTGAAGAAGTAATATTATTAATTTCTCCAGAAAAATGGAAAAAGTGTTCGCCAAAAAATTGAAGTAAAAATGTGGGAGTTGGATAATATTATAGAGGTTCAGGTAGAACCACTTGTAATTTTGATTAATGAAGATAGCCTTTCAAGTCTAACTAATTTATCCGATTCAGAATAGTGCTAAGTCAAGTAAGGAAGATTGCTATAATACAGGGTACAAGTTGTCTAATCTAAATACTAGTAGAACAAGAACAATAAAGAACAAAAGTTATCAAAAATACAAAAGGTTTCTTTTTAAGATGCACAATTTTAAATCAAATACCAAATACCTCTTATATTTAAAGTTTTTTTAATGCTTTTAGTAGATATATATTAGCTATTAAAGAATTTGCAATTATTTGGACACCCTGTACAATATAATTTTATAATATGATTGTTTTAATGCTCTGTATCACAGTAGACATATGTAATGAACTAAATATAATGCAACCATCTCTTTTAAAGTCAAATACATTTATTAATTTGTATTGCAGGTTAACGCAGTTTATGTCGCTCACCTATCTTCGTCCAGAAATGTCACTAAAGTCTGGGAGACCGTGTATGGCATTTATTTTAGTTTTACTTTACAAAATAAGTTTTTATCGTAATAAAAAATAATTTCACAATTACACTCTTTTATTTTACACATTTTTGCAAGACGGAAAAGTAAAATACGGCCCTGCTCAATTTTAGCGTCCACCTGCTTCTGTTTACACCAGGCGTAAATTAAATTTGAATAGACTTTAGATGAATATTTTTTATATTTAAAAAAAAATAACACATTTTTTTAACAAATTTTATAATACCTATTTAATGGCAAACAATAAAAAACAACAATGAACTAAAATACAACAAACTACTTATTGGTATTTATTATTCATGAATTTAATATCCGGCTTTATCTGACATTTATTTATATTGGTGACAGAGTTGTTTACCCCGTAATCACAGTAACAATATATTTACTTGATTATTCTGGGAAATTTGTCGTTAAATGTAATATTTTAGGTATGTTCAGAACGAAACAGAGATTTATTAACTTTGATCGAAATATGATGGTTGTAAATAAAACAGTATACAAACCTCGGTAGGAAGTTTCATTCCTGTCTCGAGATCATAGCTAACCTCGAAGCTTCGCGCCTCGGTGATCTAACTAATCTCACGATAGGAATGAAACTCTTCCCACCTCGGTGTGTAATATACTATTAATCGTATTTAAAACGTTTTAAATAGGAAACGAGTATTTTGATAAATATAATCTAATATGTAAAATTCTCGTGTCACAATGTTCGTTCCCATACTCCTCCGAAACGGCTCGACCGATTCTTATGAAATTTTTTATGCATATTCAGTAAGTCTGAGAATCGGCTACTATCTATCAAACCCCTAAGTGATAAGGGGTGTCCACCCCAAAAAATTTTTTTTTTATTTTTTGGATAATTTTTTTATTATGTGGCATTAAAAAATACAACCCTTAATTTTCAACCCCTAAATGTTAAGGGTGGTCCACCCCTAATTTTTTTTTGTTTTTATTTTTTTATGATACACAATACAAAAATACATACAACCCTTAATTTTCACCCCTCTACGATCAAACTCCATTTTTTATTTGTTCATTAAACACTTTATAGTTAACATATTCACCTCTGCTGAGCAAAACATTCAATGCTCATATTAATGTTCAGTCATGCAATTCGGTGAAGAGTATCAAATATATTTGCAAGTATGTGAATAAAAAAAGTGATATGGCTGTATTTAGAATTGAAAATACTAATGTAAATGCTCCTCCGTTGAATCAAAATGATGAAATTACGAATTAGCAAATTGGCCGGTATATCAGTTCCAATGAAGCTGTCTGGCGTATTTTCGGTTTCCCAATTGATGAACGGGATCCAGGATTTATCCATTTAGTTGTCCATCTTGAAAACGGCCAGTGCGTATGTTCCACGAACGATACAGCGCTTGATTGTACTACAAATCCACCAAAAACTACTCTCACCGAATTTTTTGAACTGTGCAATCGTGATAATACAAATATGAATAATTATTTTTGATGTTTAAGCTATCAAGAATTGTAATTTAAAATGTAATCGTTACTTTAATAAAGATTAATTTATTAACCTAAATAAATCATACTTTCATTGTTTACAACGCTTTCGATTATAAGTACATCCCCGCACACTTATAGTAGATAATTATTTTTATTGAACTAAAAAAATGTTTCCTAGAAATAATATACATGGCAAAACAACGTTTGCCGGGTCAGCTAGTTTAAAATAAAATTCTTCAATGGGTACTGAATATTATATTTACAGATAAAATAAATAACAATTATGGAATTAAATATATAGAGATCCATCTGCCGGACCTAAATAATGTAATGATATTAAAATTACATCAATTAAAGTCCATACTCCTAATCCTCCAAAACTAAATAATTTACCAATGCCTTCTTGCCAATGGCCCAAATAAAATCGATCTGCCCCAAAACCTCCTAAAATTATACTTAATGCTAGAGTGGTTGACCATCTGTAGCCACTAGTCCAATTACAAAGAAGTTTCTTTTTGAATGTTCTTAATCCTACAAGATAATAATTAATGTAATAGATTAAAGAATTGATGAAAAATAACATGAGAAAAATTAATTTTCTTAAAATAGTATTATAAGTTTGAATCAACTCAAAGACTGATAACCCAAGAAGATTAACTTTCTATTTTTTACAATATATATTAAATGAATTGTTAATTATCAAATGTTTTATACATATAATACTTGTAAATAGGGACTGAAAGACTTCATTCGAGAGCTCTTTGGGAGTACCCAAAAAATATATTTAACACTGTAAATATATTGCTGCTTGACAAAGAATATGGCCGCACGTCGTACTTGAATTACACATAATGTTTTTCTACAATCACAATTAAAAATATGATGCCAAATGTACCAGATTTTGATTTTGCCATTTGTGTGAAAATGTCATGACTGTTCGCACTTTAGGAATGTGGTAAGGCACATTCATGCATAGTTCATATAGAAATTATCTTTAGAGTAGATTCGAGATTCTATTATGCTTCTACCTGAAGAGCTAGCTCTAAGTAGAGTGAAACTGATCATAGACTGTTAGCTCTTCAAATGCCAAATCAAAGGATCTGTTGTATCAGCAGAGTTAGTCGCGAACACGCATTATAATATCTGTTATTCTATGTACGGATGAGAATATAGCCTTGGAAGTAGTTATTTTGTATTATAAGGTGGCCATACAATGTCAACTAAAAATCTGGGAAAATGACTATAAACTTAAATTTTAAATTTTTACTAGCCTATCTAACCAAATGCTAAAAAATATTTGTCTTACCTAGACATAAAATATCATCTCCTACTGTACAATTTGTCACATAATAAGATCTAGGTGAATGCACAGTGTTACAATTTCCCACTAATTCACAACTGTGTTCCCAGTGGTCTGTCTGATAACAATATCTACACATATACTTTCTGGAAAACGTTCTTGGTCCCTGTTATAAAATATTACAAAAGTTATTTTTAAAAATAATGTGTAAAAATATACTTACAGAACAGGTTACTCCTTGTTCTGGTTCACAAGTACTAGTGACAGTAGCACCATATATACAGTTCTCATTTAACTTACATTTTATGCAGGTTGCATTGAGTTTGTTACATTCTAAACTAGAAGGGCAGTTAAGAACTAAATCGATCTAAAAAAATATTTAAAGATAATATAAAGTCTTCAACAATAGCCTCCGTACCTCACATGACCTGGTAAAAACAAATTGAATAGAAATGGCCCTTATTTTTTTGTGTCATAGGAATCAACTACTTTTGTTATTAGCCTCTTGTTCTGTGCAGGCTTTGTTACTGTTTCCCAGCGCCACGTTAGGAACAGCACTATTAATTAGAACCCAACTGTGAATGGTCGAGTGTGGAATCCTGCCTATGCATTAGAATTAATATTTAATTTGTTAAATTAAATAAAAATCCTGTTCCCGGTGGGATTCGAACCTGAGACATTTTGATTTCAGAGTCATGACACTAACCACTAAGCCAACCCACCCCCAATGGTCTTCATTAGTCACTTTTATGACAACTTTATTGTCATTTGTCAGGGCATTGTTGAAGAATTAGTGTTACTTTTAACAGAATGACCGACATCAATTTGGTCATGTGGGATACAGATATTGTTGAACACTTATTATTATAGATATAAAAATGCTAGAATCATTTGGTGCTATTTGTCAAATACAACTCACTAGTGCTGAATTTAGCAATATTGGGCAATCTATGCAAAAAAAATGAAAAGTTTAATTTATTTGTCTCCAAAACAGTGGATCACACCGACATTACAAAATGGGACTTTATTGTTTAAAGAAACACTACAGTTTTCAAATTGTAACTAGCTATCCCTTTGGTGTGAAACGTTTCTGATATAAACATTAAAGTTCTAAATCTATACCTAATAACATAACATAATACGAGCATTTCATTGAGTTTGGTCCAATGATAAAAATTTTTGAAAAGTGTGCAACAGTAACTTTAAAACTAAAAACTAAGTTCTTAGTTTATTGTATTTATAAGAAGGCTGCATCTATTATCAATTATCATATTCTAATAAATACTTGGGCACACCTTTCTTTAAATACAACTGTATGTTACTTATTTACAACTATAAAAATGCTACAAAATCATAACTATTAACTAGAAACTAATAATTAGGAGCAGTAACATCAACATTTTAGGGTTATGACCTTTCAACTGTGCATGTTTCATCTACATTTTCTTTAATTTTCTGTTCATTTCCAGTGAAGTTGAAAATATTTTGCTATAATGAGTTACTAAAAACGAATGGCACCTACTTTGTAAAAATTAAATTACTTTAGTAATTTTACTTTTTTGTTACTAAATCTATATTCAAATTTCAAGGTACTTACGGTTTTATCTAAGTTGCTACCTAAGCCACTATCACTTTTTTTATTCTCTGATGAACGGGCGTGATCTTCTGAAAAGTAAGTATGTATGTTATATTTAATACTTAGGTATCAATTGTAGGGTTTAATCTCAGGTTTTCTGTTCGCCGATGCTTATCAAAACTCACCCATATGAATTCGATTTATTAACACTGTAAGTAGAATAAAAGTTGCTTTTCTTATATTTATGTGCATACATTTCATTTTTCATGATACAGAATGTGAGATGATAAAAAGTTTAAAATTTATTTCGAATTTTTTATCAAAATACTTTGACAACAGAAACCTAACCTATGATATTATTCTTTTTCTTGCGACATTGACACTGTCAACGGTCAACGACTATATACTACACCAACACCTTTTTTTTTTTTTTCGATTTATGGCCTAGGCCACATACTTTGCTTACTATACGAGGCAAGAGAGAGGTCCGACACGCCCAACATAGGGCGCGGCCATTTTGAACCCTGTGACACAGTTTACAGCTAAAGAATCAGATCGCTCACTCTGCGTCGGCACTTTGGATCTCAATGTTTCAGTTTATACACTGTGCAACTCGGATAATACAATATATGACAACCGCCTATAATAAAACAGCAGTCTTCTGCGTATTCTGAATTTGTATCCCTCGAGTGGATGTTAGTTTGCAACTTTCAACTGGTCCGAGTGAGCTAACTGATTCTTTAGCAATAAACTGTGACTTCAAAAATAATATTCACTGACACTGACAGCAGCAAGTAAAATATCAGGTGCGTTTTAATCATCCGCTTCTGCTTCCGGAATTGTCGGTTTAGCCGTTTTAACCTGTCAGATTAAAACAAGAAAACCGACAATTCCGAAGCAGAAGCGGATGATTAAAACGCACCTATTAAAAATATTGCGCCAAGATGTAGGCAACACGTAATAAGGGTTCAAAATGGCGGAGTTTTCTATCTCCTTTTAAAAGGCACTCAGAAAGCTGCGCAGTGCGACCATTCTCCGTATAGTAAAAGAAAATCAAAGTCCCCTTTGATAACTATACGGGGCAAGAGAGAGGTCCGACACGCCCAACATAGGGCGCGGCCATTTTGAACCCTATGACACAGTTTATAGCTAAAGAATCAGATCGCTCACTCTGCGTCGGCACTTTTTATCTCAATGTTCCAGTTTATACACTGCGCAACTCAGATAATACAATATATGACAACCGCCTATAATAAAACAGCAGTCTTCTGCGTATCCTGAATTTGTATCCCTGGAGTGGATGTTATTTTGGAACTTTCAACTGGTCCGAGTGAGCTAACTGATTCTTTAGCAATAAACTGTGACTCCAAAAATAATATTCACTGACACTGACAGCAGCAAGCAAAATATCAGGTGCGTTTTAATCATTCGCTTCTGCTTCCGGAATTGTCGGTTTAGTCGTTTTAACCTGTCAGATTAAAACAGTTTATTGCTAAAGAATCAGCTCACTCGGAAGTCTATAGTTTGTTTTACTGTTAATACATAATATTTTAATAAGTGATATTTAACAAATATTTAAAAGTTATGGACTTTCCACCATTTTTTATAGTATTTAGAGCTAAAACGGAAAATACATTCTATTATTTTTGCCTAATTATTACAGAAAACTTGTGTTAAGATTTAAAAATGTTCTGTCCATAAGATGCTGCCATCTGAACAGACGGAATAGACACTAAAGTGAAAAATTGCAACATCGCTCCCTATATGCAGACGAATGTAAAATCGGCTTAGCCCAATTTGACCATATTCTTGGTTGAGTGGCTTAGGGCCGATTCCACCGTTGTGTTAAACGGAGATTAAAATGACATTGTTAATGTAAAAATGTAATTTTAAACTTCGTTTAACACAACGGTGGAATCGGTCCTTAGATAAAAGAAACAACAGATGCAGAACAGATGAAGCAATTCATTCATAACGTATCATTTGTTTGGTCCCAATTATTGGAAAAGAGAAACAAGATATTTTATGCGGATTGAAAGAACACAGACTGTAATTCTAGATCTCGCCTCCCCAGACAACACACCAAATCCCAGAGATATCCGCAGCATATCTTTTGTGGATATCCAATATATCCACAGGATATCAGAAATATTCCGTGGATCGAATATGGATATCCAAATGTCCGTCTATATCCAGGATATAGAAGATATCCTAATGGATATTCAGCAAAATATCTAATGGGTATCTTCCAGAAAATACAAGAAATCACAGAGATATCTACATAATATATTTTGTGGATATTCAATATATCCAATATGGATATCCAACCAAATAATGTTCGTCTATATCCCAGGATATAGAAGATATTCGGATATTCAGCAAAATATTTTATGGGTATCTTTAGTAGAGGTTCATAAGTAACCAATGATTATTGAATAACGTCGAAAGAAAATAGCAGAGATAAAAAATATTGTCAACACTCAAAATATTTTCAACACTTTGCCTTTGATTTTGCCCACTAAGGAGAAAGTCATCCTTATTAGGACTCTTTAGCAATAAATGAAAATTCTCGACTCCAGTCTCTAATGGAGTGATTAGGACACACACATTTCGATCGAACTCAATTACGGCGGGTCGAGCATGAGTAAATGCGATAGTGGGATCGCCATCTATATTTAGTAAGCAGAATCAAATAACATCTAGTGGATATCCACGATGGTTTGCGTTCGCGCCTAGACTTTGATATATTTAGTGGATGTTCATGGGATATTGAATACACCTTAAAAAAATTAATTTTAAATATCTGAACGGTACTATTAGCCACAATGGTGAGCACAATGGCGTAATTTTATAATAATTTGCTATATAATTACTATTATTTATGGAAATTTGCATGTCTATAAATTACATTTCATGGATATAAAATAGATATCTACCATGGACTGGACATTCAGTGGATATTGGGATGTTCAGTAGATATCCAAAGGATTTGGTGTGCTGTCTGGGTCCGAGCAATGATCTCGCACAAAATCAAATTATGTGAGATCTCGTCTGGAAGGCGGCTGCTGTTACACGCAACTAAAAGTCTGTCGATACCAGTGGCGTATCTTATTAAAGATAAAATCACAACTCCTCGATTTTTGTGCGAAAAAGATTATTAATTTGCAGTAAATACACTAATTTTGTGTAAGTTAAATATAAAAAAATAAATCATGCCATACTAACCTTTATGGTGTGCAATAAACTTTATAATGATTTAAACTTTAAAACCTATTGGATTTGAAATAAGAGTACCCAGACAGAACAAATAGGTCCATTGGACGTCCATCGATATAAAATTTTGGATGTATAGACGTCCAAAGATGAGTTTTTTCTGGACTTCCGACGTCCAATGGACGTCCAGTGAAGTATACAAATGGCACACTTTTGACCGTTCATAGGACGTCCAATTCTGAATTTTGGACGTTCAATAATGGACATTCAAAAAACGTCTATTCCTGGATTATTATATTCCATTGAGATCACATCCCTCCTTTTTTTACACAACCTCAACTCACCACACACTATTTTATAATATTAATAATTTATTTATTATTTTCGCAACCCGAAATACACCATTTATTAATTTTTTTTTATTAAAAATCACTTGACCAGAGAAGGTATCGAACTCACGACACGTCCATTGTCTTTCTGGGCATTCAAGCGCTAGGCGACCTCGACCAAGGAGCCACTTGAAAAATTCTTACTAAATAGATACGGTTATAATAGAACAAGATTTCAAACTTCCGCTGATAGAATGAAATGTAATAGATTTAATTTGTCAATTTTTAATAACCAATTCTATTAAAAATATATATAGATGGGTATTATCCGGTAAGTAAATAATGACCTAAGATGGACGTCCACTAGGCGTCAAAATAATACTAAACTTAAAATTAAGTCCAAAAACAGATGTCCTCTGGACATCAATATGCAGCTGTCAAATTAATGATCATAAATGGATGTACAATACTGGATGTTCTGGCCCTCAAATGGATCTAAAGTGGACGTCCATTGGACTATGTGTGTTGTCTGGGTAGGGGAGCGCCGGGGCGGTTTGGACAGGGGGAGGCATTGGACACATTCAAATTTTCCGTGTGATTAGAAAACAGGTCAAAAGAGATACTTAACGGTAAGCACATTTGAATGTTCTCAGCACCCGTCTAGACGTGAAGTAGTCAGGTCGCGTCGTTTCGACACATCACAATTATCGTATTATTCCACTTGTTTGATCTAATATTTTCCAGTTTTAACCTGTGCTTTTAAATAACTGTTTTTCTGTTTTTTGGTTGCTGACTGATTGCCAGTATTAAGTAAGCTTTGACAATTAAAATTTGTTTTTATTTTTAAGATAAATGAATAAATAAACATACTTTAACAAATTTTGTATTTTATTAGTCGAATTATGTTGCGGGAGGGTATGGACACCTGTCCAAACCGTCCCGCAAGTGTCCAAACCCTCCTTAAATTACAAAATTGTTACAGAAAACATGCCTTGCAAATACAGAAGGTTAACAGATCGGACCTTTTCTGCAGAAGCCATGAGCACTGCAACTGTTGATGTTTTGTCAGGAAAATACTCAATTAGGAAAAGCGCACAGGAGCATAAGGTTAAAATATCAACTCGAGCATTATATGTCAAAAAAGCAAAAGAAGTTGGAATTGAAAATATGTCATTCTCTCCGCGTTTCGTCACATGCGTTATCTAATAAATTGGAATCATCACTTGCCTGTTACCTCAAAACATGCTCGAATATGTACCATATATGGTTTAACTGGAAAGCAAATAAATTAGCTGGAAAGGATTGGTTTACTGGATTTTTAAGTCGAAAACCTGATTTGATCATAAGAACCCCACAAAACTCAAGTTTAGCGAAAATTTCAAGTTTTAATAAATCTACGGTTGGGATATTTCAAGATAAATTAAAGGAGGTTCTGAAAAGGCAAGAATTCACTGGATCAGACATATTTAATTTGGACGAGACCGGAGTTACAATAGTCCAAAAAACGCAAAAAGTGGTTGCCACCAAAGGCCAGCATCAAGTGGGTAAGATCGTTTCACGTGAGAGAGGAGAATTGGTTACACAAGTAGGCATTATTGGAGTGAATAGAATAGCACTTCTTCCAGTGTGGGTGTTTCCAAGAAAACATTTTGACAAACATCGAATGCTAAGTGGTATTCCAGACGAGTATGGCGCAACCGGCTTAGTTCATTCGTCTGGATGGATGACCAGCGATAATTTTTACGAGTTTTA